CAATGAGGCTCTTTGACATGATGCAGTTCCATCTTGAAAGCATAGTCAAGGCTTCGTCCCTCTGTCCATCGGTGAGACAACTGTCCGAGGGTCAAAGTCCACTGGTGAGGTATGAGTCTCCTGGATGGTGTTGGTCTTTGTTGGCAGAGCATCGACAGGTACTTCACTGAGCACTCGAACCTCGTGAAGCTGACAGAGTCTGGTCTTGGCGGATATACTGATGATCCCTGGCTGACATGTTGCAAATGCGAACAGGAACCCTGGAGGAGTTACCTCGATTACCTATTTCAACGAGTCTTGGGCAAACTGAGAGTCCTGTCCGAAGGTCAGAGTTCAAGTCATGGTGTTCGGTGATAGCTGTGGCTCTTCAGGCTGATGACGCACAAGTCCAGCGATGTGTGCATCATCTGGTTTGGTTGAAGGTGGATCGGCGTCTTGTTAGTAGATCTTACTTGTCCAATGATTCCATTAGCTTGCGAACGTAATGCAGTAAGCCAAGAGGCTGGTATGGTGTTATCTACAGGTACCAAGTATCTCTCCACAAGATCTATGATGTTGGTTCCGATCACTAGTGGTACTCGCCTATTGTACTCTGTGTCTCTGGTGACTAGTAGAACAATGTCCAACTCCTTGTCAATGAAGGGGATGTAGATCTTGGCCTCCAAATATCCTGAGTATGGAAGGATGTTATCGCCTGCACCCATTACTTCGATCTCAAAGTCCTTGAGCTGTCGTAGTGGAAGATGAGTAAGGCATGACGCGTGGTATCCCTCAGATACAGTTGAAACCATAGATCCTGGATCAATCAAGGCTGGACAGTTGATTCTCTCTATGTCGATAACTGCCTCGTTGGCTTTGCCGACCATCCGTCGATGTAAATCTGATATGGGGCTAGTAGTTCCCTCAGCCTCAGTATGCCCCGCAGCAGTAGGCTGGCTTAGTTTAAAAGAATCCTTGTCTTCCTTCTTTTTAGTATGCTTGACCTCGACCACGTCCTCTTCTTCCTCTACCTCGAGTCCGTTGTGGCTGAAGGGAGTACTGTTGTTGCTGGGCCTCCTGGGTTTCCAATGCCTTCAGTCTGTCCAGAATCTGCTGGAGAAGGTGACTGTCTGTAGGCGGTTTCTTGGATGCCAATTCCAACTTCTCAAGCCTCTTTGTAATGTCGGACAGCTGTCGAGCACTTTGATCCTGAGGAGAGGGGTAGATCCTTCTAGTGGTTGTGAGAAACCTAATGTCTGAGGTTGGTGCTGACTACGACTGGGTCTTGGCTTGACAGGCTGGCTGTTGTTGATTTCCCTGTTCAATCAGTCGAACGGTCTGCAGTAGTGTGTGGAAATCCATCGAGGATTAAAAAGCATGACGTGTTGCATCCTTCAATGCCAGATTCCTCAACCCTGTCCAGAACCGATTCCGTAGCATGGCCTGTCTTGCTTGTGTGTATCCAAGTAGGACCCTCTATCGTGCACACACTCTGTAGAATGTCCTCAAGCCTGATTCCCCATGAAGCCACTGTCTCCGAATCCTTCTGAGTTGCCTGATGAAACTGTTGAAGAAGCTGTTCCGCCGTGATAATGGTTCCGTAGGGGCCCTCCAAACGCTGTAGAATATCTGTGACTGTAGCATATTCTCCTAGGGGAAACTAACACACGAGCGGCATCTCCTCTGAGTGACTTCCTCACAGCTTGCATAAGAGTTGAAGATGTAATGCTGTCATCCCTCAGCAAGCAACGAATCTCAAACTTCCAGTTCTCGAAGAAGTTGTCTCCCCTTTCTGCACTGGCTCTTCACCTGAGAAGGCTGAAATCCTTGGTAGCGGGCTGAAGTGTAGGCCATGGTGCAGGTGGATAGGTTCTGGCTGGCTTCCAGAAGATCCTGACGGTGGACGAGAAGCATTAGCAGCACTTGGAATCAAATTCGTGGCTCTGGTTTGACTCCTCAGTCTGGGCAGCAGTATGATCTCCTCTTCATCCTGACTGTCTTCTTTGGATCTGTCTGAAGCTTGAAACTCCTTCACTCGAAGTGATACCGATTTCTTGCTTCTTCTAGACTGGCGTCGTTCTGTCCTGGACGTGTCTTGTTGGAGGGAAACAGATTCCAGTGGAAGGAGCATGTTGCGGTGGAGAGTCTTCATTGGCCCCTGGCCACTCTCTTTCTTCAAAGTGTAGACGGGAATGTCCTCGTTGGGTTGTTTCACAATGACATAGACGTTTTTCCCCCACTTGTTGGCAAGCTTGTTCCTTTCTGTAAGTCCGACAAGCCGCACCAGAACACGATCATTTGGTTGTAGAAAGGACTCTCTCACTTTCTTGTCGTAATGTTGTTTGTAGCGTTGTCCTGCCTTCCTAGATTCCTTGGAGGCTATGTTGTACGCAAACTGTAGCCGCTTCTTGAGGTTGTTAGCGTACTGAGTACAGGTAGCTTGTCCTTGTCCAAGGTCGAATCCAAGAAAGGCGTCCACTGGGAGTCGAGGGTGTCGTCCAAACATGAGGTAGAAGGGAGTGAATCCTGTACTCTCGTGACTTGTGGCATTGTAGGAATGAACGAGAGCAGGTACATAAGTTTTCCAGTCACTCTTCTTCTCTTCATCCAGGGTACCCATCATGTTCATCAGAGTCTGGTTGAAACGTTCCGTCATACCATTACCTTGAGGGTGATATGGCGTCGTTCTTGTCTTCTTTATCCCAGTAAGTTGGCAGAGTTCTCTGATGATGTTGCCCTCGAAGTTCCTCCCTTGGTCACTGTGGAGTTTAGCCGGGAATCCATAATGTACTAGAAAATTGTCAAACAGTACTCTCGCTGTGGTCTTGGCTGATTGGTTACGAGTTGGGATGGCAATAGCATAGCGAGTAAAATGATCCGTGATCACAAGGATATTCTCGTAGCCTCCTTTGGATTCTTCAAGCTTGAGATAGTCCAAACAGACAAGTTCCATGGGCTGTGAAGTGTGGATGCTTATAAGTGATGCGGCTTTCACAGTGGTTTTGCACTTGCGTCGGACACAATTACCACAGTTCTTAATGTACTTCTCGACATCCTCAGACATTCAAGTCCAGAAAAACCTTGATCTCACAAGATGGAGAGAACAAGCTGATGTTCAATACCTTCGATGTTGTTAATTCGTCTGAACAAGATCCCATCCTTGAGAAACAACTTGTCCCTGTCCTGAAGTAATCTTCTCAGTGTAGGATCCTCAAGTGACCGCTGACGTGCTGTGAGCTTAACTCCTTCCTTGATGAGATGGATTACCCGTCCAAGATGTTGATCACTGAGTTGTTCCTTCTTCCAGGACAGTGATGTAGGAGTCAATGGAATTATGTCATCTGGGCAATCAACTTTTTCATCACAAGATAAGCTTTCCGCAGCAATGCAGGAGGTGCAATGAACTTGGCAGATGGCCTTTTTAGATTGGGGTTCGATATGAGACTCCTTGCTGTCCGAGTAATCTGGCCTTCTTGACAATCCATCGGCGTCCATGTTGGTGATGCCTGCACGATAGGTAATGATGAAATCGTATGCTGAGAGAGCAGCGAGCCACCTGTGTCCAGTGGCATCAAGTTTGGCTGATGTCAAGACGTAGGTAAGAGGGTTGTTATCTGTCTTGACCTCGAACATGTTTCCATACAGGTACTCATGAAACTTATCCGTAACGGCCCATTTGAGTGCTAAAAACTCCAGCTTGTGTGCAGGATAGTTCCTCTCGCTCTTCCTTAGTCCTCTACTTGCATATGCGATTACTCTCATCTTGTCATCCTGCTTCTGGTAGAGAACTGCTCCCAGTACATCAGCGCTGGCATCAGTGTGGACCTCGAAGGGGAGAGCATAATCAGCATACGCTAAGATTGGTGGTGACGTGAGGTGCTGGATCAGGACATCAAAAGCTTTTTGTTGCTCATCATTCCACTTCAAGTTAGGATCAGGTTTAGAGCTTCGTCTCTTCTTCTTTGGTTGGTCTGTCAAGAGATCGTTGAGGGGTCTTGCAATCCGAGAGAAATCCTTCACAAAACGGCGGTAATACCCAGTGAAGCCTAGAAATCTTCTAACGTCATGCACATTGGTTGGTACGGGCCAATTCTTGAGTGCTGATACCTTCTCTGGATCCGTCTCTATCCCGTTGCAAGATACAACATGCCCATGGTATGTTACGCGATCCCTGAATAACTCACACTTGGAAGGCTTTAGCTTGAGGCCGTTGTCTTTCAGTCGTTGGAATACTGCTTCAAGACGCTCCAAGTGTTCCTCAAATGTAGTTGAGAAGATAATGATGTCATCCAGGTAAATTAGACACTCCTTGAGGTTGAGATCTCCCATACATTTCTCCATTAGACGCTGGAAGGTGGCAGGTGCATTGGTCAGTCCGAACGGCATTTGATTGCATTCATAAAATCCGAGTGGACCGGCTGAAAAGGCAGTCTTGTGCTTGTCTTCTTCTTTTAGTTCCACTTGCCAGTATCCTGAGCGTAAGTCCAACTTGGAAAACATGGATGCTCCTGACAGACAATCTAAGGTTTCATCGATCCTGGGGATGGAATAAGCATCCTTAACCGTCTGTTGGTTAATCCGGCGAAAATCCAGACTATGTTAGACGAGAAAGGACTACGAGACTCAGGAAAGGCTCCACATGTCAACATCTCAAACATTCCAGGTGGAATTCGTCGGTGAGGTTCCTTGAAAGGAGTATCGTCAATGAGGTTGATCTCATGTTGCACAGCTGTGGTGTGTCCCAAATCAATGAGGCTCTTTGACATGATGCAGTTCCATCTTGAAAGCATAGTCAAGGCTTCGTCCCTCTGTCCATCGGTGAGACAACTGTCCGAGAGGTCAAAGTCCACTGGTGAGGTATGAGTCTCCTGGATGGTGTTGGTCTTTGTTGGCAGAGCATCGACAGGTACTTCACTGAGCACTCGAACCTCGTGAAGCTGACAGAGTCTGGTCTTGGCGGATATACTGATGATCCTGGCTGACATGTTGCAAATGCGAACAGGAACCCTGGAGGAGTTACCTCACTTACCTATTTCAACGAGTCTTGGGCAAACTGAGAGTCCTGTCCGAAGGTCAGAGTCCAAGTCATGGTGTTCGGTGATAGCTGTGGCTCTTCCAGGCTGATGACGCACAAGTCCAGCGATGTGCATCATCTGGTTTGGTTGAAGGTGGATCGGCGTCTTGTTAGTAGATCTTACTTGTCCAATGATTCCATTAGCTTGCGAACGTAATGCAGTAAGCCAAGAGGCTGGTATGGTGTTATCTACAGGTACCAAGTATCTCTCCACAAGATCTATGATGTTGGTTCCGATCACTAGTGGTACTCGCCTATTGTACTCTGTGTCTCTGGTGACTAGTAGAACAATGTCCAACTCCTTGTCAATGAAGGGGATGTAGATCTTGGCCTCCAAATATCCTGAGTATGGAAGGATGTTATCGCCTGCACCCATTACTTCGATCTCAAAGTCCTTGAGCTGTCGTAGTGGAAGATGAGTAAGGCATGACGCGTGGTATCCCTCAGATACAGTTGAAACCATAGATCCTGGATCAATCAAGGCTGGACAGTTGATTCTCTCTATGTCGATAACTGCCTCGTTGGCTTTGCCGACCATCCGTCGATGTAAATCTGATATGGGGCTAGTAGTTCCCTCAGCCTCAGTATGCCCCGCAGCAGTAGGCTGGCTTAGTTTAAAGAATCCTTGTCTTCCTTCTTTTAGTATACTTGACCTCGACCACGTCCTCTTCTTCCTCTACCTCGAGTCCGTTGTGGCTGAAGGGAGTACTGTTGTTGCTGGGCCTCCTGGGTTTCCAATGCCTTCAGTCTGTCCAGAATCTGCTGGAGAAGGTGACTGTCTGTAGGCGGTTTCTTGGATGCCAATTCCAACTTCTCAAGCCTCTTTGTAATGTCGGACAGCTGTCGAGCACTTTGATCCTGAGGAGAGGGGGTAGATCCTTCTAGTGGTTGTGAGAAACCTAATGTCTGAGGTTGGTGCTGACTACGACTGGGTCTTGGCTTGACAGGCTGGCTGTTGTTGATTTCCTGTTCAATCAGTCGAACGGTCTGTAGTAGTGTGTGGAAATCCATCGAGGAGTAAAAAGCATGACGTGTTGCATCCTTCAATGCCAGATTCCTCAACCCTGTCCAGAACCGATTCCGTAGCATGGCCTGTCTTGCTTGTGTATCCAAGTAGGACCCTCTATCGTGCACACTCTGTAGAATGTCCTCAAGCCTGATTCCCCATGAAGCCACTGTCTCCGAATCCTTCTGAGTTGCCTGATGAAACTGTTGAAGAAGCTGTTCCGCCGTGATAATGGTTCCGTAGGGGCCCTCCAAACGCTGTAGAATATCTGTGACTGTAGCATATTCTCCTAGGGAAACTAACACACGAGCGGCATCTCCTCTGAGTGACTTCCTCACAGCTTGCATAAGAGTTGAAGATGTAATGCTGTCATCCCTCAGCAAGCAACGAATCTCAAACTTCCAGTTCTCGAAAGTTGTCTCCCCTTTCTGCACTGGCTCTTCACCTGAGAAGGCTGAAATCCTTGGTAGCGGCTGAAGTGTAGGCCATGGTGCAGGTGGATAGGTTGAAGGAGGGAAAGGAAACGATCCTGGTGTTGGGACATAAGATGGAAAACTAGGTGTGGAAAAGTTTCTTGAGTGTGGTGTAGAAGAAGTGGGTACGGAGCGAATGGTGTATTTCCCAGTCCCCTGAAGATAGGTCAACATCCTGGCTTCGTCCTCTTCGGAAATACCCTCGGATTTGAGCTCCCAATCTTCACCACATTGAGCCATTTTGTCCTCGATCCGTGATATAACGAGTGAAAGGTAAACACCAATGACCAGCAAAGAAAAGCGTGAAGTGTTTACTGGTTTATACAACCACGAGTAGACCCAGCAGAGTAACTTCGGTAGTAACATATAAACTATGCTGATACTATTACGCTAGGTAAAGTATCTACTGTGCACAAACAGTAAACAAGGAATAGCAAACATGGAGGGAAGCATGAATGGATCTGTGATAGAATATGCTCTGATATTGCAGAGTGTATGATACTGTGCGTGGTATACCAAGGTGTGAAGCAAGAGCTAAACGCAAGCGCAACTCTAAGAGTTACTACGGTAATAAATGCTAAGGGTATGCAGAGAGTATAAAACTAGCACACGTGGGCAAATGCAAACTTGAGCACCCAACAGCAACAAACTTACCCAAGGCAAAAAAGCAAACAACACCATGAGAAAGAAACACAACGCCAGTTGATACGAAGCAAAGGGAGGCAATCGCCTATAGCATAGGGCGAGGGAAGCACTATAGGATAGGGAAAATGGAAAAGACCCTAAGTATATTATCCTAACAGTTTATAAGATTAACAAACGCGGACGCAGACGCGGAGGCGGACGCGGAAATGTTAACGCGAGTGCATGGCTGTATAATTAGTGCAAATGAAAATGACTGACGCATACACACAAGCAAACATAAAATGTAAACAATCAACTATTGCACTAAGTCAACACACTAATATAATACTTAAGTATGCATTGTCGTTTTTACAGACAATATAGGTAGCTTGATTATTTATAAATATAACTAAACTTGTCTAAACTAATCTAAATTAATCTAACTAAACTAATCTAACAAATTGAACTAATCTAACTAATTACACTAATCTAACTAATTCAACTAGTCTAACTAATTAAACTAATCTAACTAATTACACTAATCTAACTAATTAAACTAATCTAACTAATATGATGAAGTCAAGTTATGTAAATATTGCACAGTTATGCGAAATTCAATGCATTCATGCAATATTATGGCATGTAGACAAATGTCAATAGTATGAATACAACTGATCCATGAAATCAATGCAGATATCAATGCTATGAATATAGCAAATTCATGGATATAAATGGAATGTCACATATAAAATGCACTTTAGCAGCTGAATGTCTCCCAACGTCACTGATGATCACAGATATCACACGTTATCACAGTCTTGTTTAGAGTGTCACATGTATATATGGATATCACAGATAAGGTGTAGAATATATAAGATGTAAAGTGTCTTATCACAGTCAAATAGAAGTCGATATATACACACACGAAATCACTGAGCGCAAATCTCACGTATATGACGATCCTTGAAGATGACGTCCAGGTGAGCTGTACCGTGACGGTGTCGTGATGATATCGTGGGGTTGTTCTTGGTTCGTTGGCACTGGTTGACGGCGATGTTATGATGAACCCCGTCTCTGTTCGGGCGCCAATTGTCGCGGGTTCTGGTCTTGAGATGTCCCAAGGACAATAATTGATGAGACGGGGAACGTCGCTTAAGATATGCACCAGTTTATTGCCTGTGAAATACGAACATTACAACATGAGAAAGATGTTGTATGCGTCCGACATGGTCGGATGGTGACATGAAAGTGTCGTATATATCTTATATGAATACATCGGCAATAAACAATACAATTATAGATATAAGATTGGTATATAATAGTTATGCTATAATTGAATAATTGATAAAATATATATGACGTCACGCATAAGCGTTTCGTCCGGGATATTTACAATTGATGTGACGTCACGCATTAGCGATCAGTCAAAATTATATACAACTGATGATTTAGTATACTGTAGATATAAAATCATAATTATTGATCATTCACACACTGTCTTACATGCAATGCTAGTGCTTTAAGTTAGTAAGTGATCCACGCGAGAGAAAGTTTACATTACGCGGTCGCGATTAATTACTAACTTAAGATATATGTATTACTATGTTGATGATAATAATATGTATACTAGCAATGATATAGATGTAGAAAGAATATATGTAGAGAGGGTGCTTACCTGTGAAATACGAACATTACAACATGAGAAAGATGTTGTATGCGTCCGACATGGTCGGATGGTGACATGAAAGTGTCACACGTCACAGGCATGAAACGCACAAGATTTGGCGGGTTAGCCAAATACGGGTGGCACGTACAACTCTCTACATATAGCCAGTGGAGAAGCAGCCCTCTGTTGAAATAAAAGGGAAATAGAAGGCTGTCGGCGACAATTACAATCAGGATCAGGGTGTCCCACAAGGAAGTATTTTGTCAGTCACATTGTTTAGTATCAAGATCAACAGTTTATCAAAGGTTTTAAACGATTCAATTGATGGGTCACTTTTTGTGGATGATTTAAATATTTCTTGTCGTGGTAAAAATATGCATACTATTGAACGCCAATTGCAGTTGTGTTTAAATAAAATAAATAAATGGTGTCTTGAAAACGGCTTTAAATTTTCCAAATCCAAAACTAATTGTCTACACTTTTGTAGAAAATATAAGCCGCTTAAAGATCCAGAACTATCTTTAAATGTCACTCCCATCAAAGTTGTTAAGGAGGCCAAGTTCTTGGGTCTAATTTTCGACTCCCATTTAACCTTCTTGCCGCATATTAAATAATAATAATAATAATAATTAGTCCATTTATATTGCGCTAAATCCACACCGACAGCATGCTCATAGCGCAGACTTTAGAATTTAGGAGTCATTTTAAAACATAGAGAAAAGGTATGTCTTTAGGTTTGATTTGAAACATGTGACTGTTGGGCTTGTTCTAAGGTGAGCTGGTAGCTCATTCCAGTTCATCGCGGCCGCCACTTGAAAGGAACGAAAACCATAGGATTTCAACTTCCATTTTGGAATGTGAAGTAAGTTTTTGTCACTGGAGCGAAGCTGTCTGCATGGAAGATATGGTTTGAACAGTTCTTTGAGATAGGCTGGAGCAGTGCCTAGTATGCACTGGTAGACGAGGGTTAAAACTTTAAAGTTCACTCTAGCTCTTATGGGCAACCAGTGTAACTGTTTTAGAATAGGGGTCATGCTTGAGAACTTTGGTGCTTTGCTCACAATCCGTGCTGCAATATTTTCTATGCGTTGCAGACGGTTTAAGAGCTCTTGTGAGATGTTTAAAAGCTAGCTATTACAATAGTCTATTCTGGAAAGAATGAGGGAACGAACAAGGGCAGCTGTAGAACATTCAGTCAGTAGATGTCGTATTTTTCCGATGGTCCGGATATGATGATAACATGACTTGCAGATCTCCGATACTTGTCTTTCCATTGAAAGGTCAGACTGTACATATACTCCTAGATCTTTTACAGAAGTTGAGAAATAAATCACTTAAAGCCAAATGCCTGAAGGCACTCGATTTGTTGAAAGTTGTTTCCAACTCAAAGTGGGGAGGGGATCAAGCTACCCTCCTCCACCTATATCGATCATTGGTCCGCTCGAAACTTGATTATGGCTCCATCGTATATGGTGGAGCGTGCAACAGCAACTTAAAACTACTTGATTCTGTCCACCACCAAGGCCTCAGACTTTGTCTTCTCTTGTTCCGCCTCTTGGGCACAGAATTAAGCCATTCCTGTCTGCTGCCGGCAATGAGCTGGAAAATATAGCTCCTTTCCGTCTTCTTTCTTCTCCTCCTTGGCAACTGGTTAGGCCACAAGTCGACCTAACACTCACTAAATTTAAAAAATCAGAAACTTATGACTTATTATACAAACAAGAATATAATCAATTAAAAAGTAAATATAATACATATAAATCCTTATT